ACAAAATAACCCAATTCAAAAATAGGCAAAGAACTTGAATAGATATTTTTCCAAAGAAGACACACAAATGACAATGCAACAAAATGTTCAACACCACTAATTATTAGAGAATTGGCAATCAATACTGCAAGTGGTCATACACGCCACTATACACTCATTAGATGGCTATCATCAAAAAACTGCAACAGAGCTGGGCAAAGTGGCACATGCCTGTAATCCCAGCACTCAGGAGGCTGAGGCAAGAGGCTCGAGTTTGAGGTCAGCATGGACTATATAGCAAGACTTTGTCTCCAAACAACAAAAACAAAAACACAAAAAGCCCACAAAACTGAACAGAACAAGTGCTACTGAGAACATGGAACAACCAGAATCCCTATGCACTTTCTTGCTATGATTGTAAAATGTGCAACTATTGCAAAAAACAGTATGGCTGTTTCTCAAAGAATTTTTAAACAGAATTACATCACTCAGGAATTCCACTTCTGGGTATAGACTCAAGAGTCAAAACCAGACTCAAATACATTCATAGCAGCATTATGCATACTGCCAAAATAGAGAGGTAAACCCAGCATCCATGAGTCAATAAATGAAGAAATGTAATAAAATCATACAACAGAATATTACTGAGCCTTAAAGAAATTGACACTTGTTACAACGTGCATGAAACTTGACATTATCATAGTCATAAAAGGAAAAATAATGATTCCACTTATGAGAAGTCTCTAGAGTAGAATGGTGGTTAACAGGAGCTGGAGCAAAGAGAATGGAATTATTTCATGAGTACAGTGTTTCAGCTTTGTATGGCTAAATAAAGTTCTAGATATAGACTGTATTTTACCACCGTTTTAAAGATTTTTAAAAATTAATTAATTTATTTTTGTCTTTTTGAGACAGAGTTTCACTATGCAGTTCAGGCTGGTCACTTTGTAAGCCAAGCTGACCTCGAACTCAGAGCAACCCTCCTGCCTTGTGCACCACCAGAACTAGCCAAGAACTTGCAAAGAAATAATTTACTTATCTTCCCAGTACCTTTTGTTTAAAAAAGTTCTCTTTGATCACTGACCATATCGGCCACAAAGACAGCAAGTAACCTAAAAAAAAATCTTAACATTACAAAGGGCATTCTGTGATATAATCATGACTTTTTAAACTTACAAAAAAAGAGATATACATAAAACATGTATGCATGCATATTTCGCATGGCACTATTCAGTCCTTCTTCCAAAATCAGGACTTCACCTAGAGTTTGACCTGGTAGAGATACAAATTTTTTTCACTGATCAAAATATTCCTCCACAAACCTGGGCAAACTGACCCAAAGTTTTATCCCCGAAGTTGCTCTATATCATCATCATCATCAAATTAAGTCCCAGACTGCTTTTTGTTTTTTAACATATATGAAAAGGTTGTTACTGCCCACTTATACAAATCCAAATATCTCAAAACATTTGATGCAAAATGGCAAAACTCATGACACAGAAAAGATGCTCTGCAGTAAAGTAAAGAGGGTCTGGTGTGGACGGACAGGAACTCCTATCCTTAGAGAGTCTCTGGGTCTACCTAGGCCTTTCTCAAATAACCTTCCATATACTTCCAGAGTCTCAGTTTCAGAATGCAAAAAAGAAAAAAAAAAAATAACATCACACCACAGGGAACCTACAAGGCCAGCCTTTCTATGCAGACTCACTATGCTCAAATTGTGACCTAAAGAAAGCTATGTTTGCACTTATGAATGAATCATACAGCTTTTCTTTATGTTTATGTGGCTGGAGGAACACTTCAATTTGATTAACCATATCATATATAAGTCAACCTTTGTGACAGAGTATCATGCTCCTATCAAGTTGCCTGCACAATTCACTAACATTCTATAATTCAAAAGCCTTTAAAATATGTATATTCCCTAACCAAACACTGCCACACTTAGAAATTTATAAAGAAAGTAAGTTGGTCCACACCTGTAACCAATCCTAAAATTTCAGGAGGACAAGGCAGAAGAATGTAAAGTTCTGAGCCCCACCTTACTTGGCAAGACCTTATCTCAAAAAAGTGAAAAAAGTTAAGGATGTAGCTTAGTGTGAAGACTCTAGGTTTATCCCTGAGTATAGTACTAAAAATTAAGTTTTTTAAAAACTCAGAAATGAAACATTATAAACATTGTTAGCGATCACAAATAGGCAAATGATTAGATTCTATGGTCCAGTCATACAATTACATGCTGTGAAGAAACTAAAAATGTTTGATACAAGTTGGGCATAGTCCTAGAACTTGGGAGGCTGAGTTATGGAGGATTATTTTCACAAGTTCAGGACAAGTAGAGGCAACATAGTGAGATTCTACCTCAAAAAAAAAAAAAAAAGGTTGGGCATGGTGGTACACACCTATAATCCCAGCACTCCCCAGGGTGAGGGGGGATTATTACCATGTGTTTGAGGCCAACCTGGGTTGACAATGAGTTCAAGGAGAGCCTGAACTCTGTAGCAAGATCCTGCTCAAAAGACAAAAATTAAAAAACCCCATAGATATAGAAAGATATTCATGAGATATAATTATGTGAAAAAGCACATTACAAAACAGTATTAAAAGGGCTGTGGATATAGCTCAACAGCATAAGCACCTGTGTGGCAAACATGAAATCGTTTGAGCTCCAGTAAAAAAGATTAAAAAACAAATAGTATTAAAATACAAGTCCACTTTATTGTATGTGTGTAGATTCTATCCCTTTGTACAGATATCTGTACAACAATAGTCACATGCAAATTTGTAATGAAGTGGTCTGAAAACATGATACACATGGACAAATGTACAAAAATGTGTGCTAGTATGGCCCGAAGCCCATAGAACTGCATATGAACATATAAAAATGTGCTTAAATATATATGTATGGGTGCACAAGAAACACATGTGCACACATACGTAGCATATGCTAAGGTATATGCCTATATTTGGATCATCGACTGTGTTTCAAGTAAACAAATGCATCTTTGTAATGACAGCTTAGCAGCTTTGTGACCTTCAGCAAAAGAAGTTACTAAACCTGATTCTACCATCCTCACTCAAAAGGTTTTTATAAGGATTCAATGAAAAAAATGAATATAAACTATGTGCGTGCGACTGGTTCACAGTAAACTAATATTAGCTTTCCTTATCTGTACAAATGTAGTACAGATCTGCAATTCTGTATATTTGTATAGCTATAAGTCCACAAGAATTACACATTAAACTATTAACTGATTATCTATGGCTGATAGGTCTTTATTATGGGAGGTTTTCTGACTTGTTTTTACAATTTTTCTAAAAAGATTTTTTTCATATTTTTATTGAAGGTTATTTCTTCAAATTATTTTTGAAAGAATAAAAAGGGCCCATCTTTGGCATACCTTAATTGTAAGTAAAACCTACCAAACACCACACCGAGGAATGCATAATGTTGACACACCAACAAATTTTCTGTATTCCAACAGTATAGCAGCATTACCCAACAGCTCAAGAAGATGGCAGTACAAAGAAAAACTAGAGCTTTTATTTGTTTGCCTTACCCAAGTCAGGAAGAAAATAATCAGATGACACTACAAGGTACAGATGATTGGCAAACACCTCGGTAACAGTTAAGTGGCATCTGTGACTCAAGAACCCAGAGTCTAGTCCAAGGTCATACAAAAAAGCATGTGTTACCCTGGGCTGTGAAGATACCTAAGGATTAGGCCACAATTTGTTTATGAAACCTAGACGCTAAATTTTTTTTTCTTTTCTTTTTTTTGTCTTTTTCCTTTTTATCGGTACCGGGGATCGAACTCACAACCGCCTGCTTGCAAGGCAGGTGCTTATGCCGCTGAGCTAAACCCCCAGCCCCAAGACGCTAAATTCTTTAACTAGTTATTTCATGGGTCCAGTTGAGGGGGCTGGGGGTGGGACACAACGGATTACAACACACCAGCACAAGGTTTAAGACGGCAAAACAAACCAGTAATTGACGGCACCAGACTTAATCTACATGTTTTAATCGACTGCTTTTCCTCATTTCTAAGATACAAAAATACTGTAGTTCATTTAACAGACATCTGATTTCACAAAAGCAGGATTGACATCTGTACCCCAAACCGGAAGCACTTTGAAAGCCACAAAACACAAGCAGCCCTTTGTGATTCTCGACAAAATCAGTTACTATCCGACAGTATTTCCATAATTGCGATGCATTACATTAATATCTCTAGAAACTCCGCAGGTCTCTCTAAATTTCTAGGGGAAAGCCTGTACAGACGTGGAGTAAAACCAGGAGCTCCTTCCCCTGGGGTCTCAATTTACAAGTCATACCCAGGGTAATAACCTAATCATTCCGTATACATTGCCTCCTTAGTTGCGCTATTATCTCTCTTAAATCGTCACTCCCAAGCGTGTAAAATACACTCAGGCATACGCCCTGCGGCTTCATCTTAGCTCCAGATTGCAGGGCATCACCCCAGCCAAATCTACTGCAAACTGCGGGCTGTATCTCGCTTTATTCTTGCCTTTCGCGTTAAAACTGAGGCAAGGGGGACGGGTTTCGACAGACAAGGCTCTGAAAACCCTGAGTAATCGCATGTCGCTGCGGGGAGCTGTCGGAGGCAGTAGCAGCGATTTTAATCTTTTCTCTCCACCCCGTTTCCCTTTCGTGTTTTTCTTCTTTCTTCCTTCCTTTCCATGACATCAAACCAAGACGGAAAAAGGAAAAACAAGGGCCTCTGGGTGATGCCTCCGAAGAACCGCGAGTGCTGGCTCGGGACTCGCCCAGCCCGCGCACTGCGGACGCCCAGGCCCGACGCCAGGTTTTCACCGCTCGGGGTCGCCCGGGGGCGCGGAGGGACGCGGCGCCCTCGAACCCCGCCCGGCGCGCCCAGGCCCAGCGCGGCCTCCGGCCTGGGGTCCGGCTGACCGCAGCGGAGGAGGCCGGAAGCGGCCGGCGGGCAGGGCGGGGCGAGGCCGGGGTCCGGAGTCCAGGACAAGGCTCGGGCGCTGCTTACCTGCTGGTACCGGCTGCCACTAGCCGGCTCCACAGCCGCCAAGGCGGCCAACGCCAACGCCATGGCGCAGCCGGACGCGGGCAAGAAGGACGCGCGAGCGAGCGCTTCGAGAGGGTGCAGGCGCCGCGGCCGGCAGCACCGGGGCTGAGGAGGACGCGCCGCGGGCGGGTCTGGAAGGCCGCCGCTCCGAAGAGACGCTCTCTCCAGGCTGCGAGGGCGCCGCCTCCGCCAAGCTGCGCCGCGGCCCCTGGGGAGGAGGCGGGACGTCGACGACGCACGCCGCCGCCTCGCCCCGCCCAGCTCCTCAGCCCCGCCCAGCCCGCGCCTCCCCGCCCCTCGCCGTCGCGACAGCCCGTCCCCTCGGCTCTCTGCAGCGCTCCACGGTGGCGACCCGAGCCGTACTGTCTGGCACGGGAGCTGGATTCTCGTCTATGCCATACTCATAGGTTAGTGGTCGGACGACGACAAGGCCGGGGCCAAATCCGGAGGCCACAAATGAAAACAAAGTTTTATTGGAGCACGGACATGTTCATTGGTTTAGGATAATTAGCCTGCAAACACTAAACTACTTGATGACTATACAGGAAAAAGTTTGCTCATCCTAAATCTCAGTTATTGTGGAGTATTTATAATAGCAGTTGAAAAGTGACAGCCTCATCTGTAGATACACAAACCCTAGTTTCTGGAACAAACCTTCCTGAGGGGAAAGGTGTGAAAGCCAAAACTTGCAGGATTTAGCCATGCCCAGAGCTCTCTAGGCAGCAGGAACATAAATAAGCGAAGGCAGTGACAAGAGAACTTGACCTGTGGGGGAACTGGAAGGAGGCTGGCATGGCTGCCACGCAGGAGACAATAATTATCAGTGTTTCCCAGATGAGGAAACTGTGGTTGCCTCAGTGACACAGGCCTAGCAAGGGGTAAAGTTGAGCTGCAAGCCCTTCAGGCTAGCTTTCTTAACTGTATCATGCAACTAAATTATAAGCTTCATGAAAACAGTAGTTATCTAAGTCTTACCATTCATGACGTCTAGCACAGTAATGCCACATTCAGGGCATTCTTCTCGCTCCAGTCGTCTAGAATGGCTGCTAGCCACATGCCCAAAGAGGAAGGGATTTTTTTGAAGCTTATTGCAATCCCCTTTTCTTCTTCGAATCCTCCTGTCACCGCTCCACCTCCTCCTGTACTAGGGATCTACGAGGCACCCTACCCTTGAGCTACATCCCCAACTTCTTTTATTTTTTGTTTTGAACTACGGAAAGTCTCACTAAATTGCCCAGGCAGGACTTGAACTTGCTGCCTCTGCCTTAGCATCCCAAATTTTTGAGATTATAGGTGTGTTGAACTACATTTGGCAGATTTCTTCTTGCTTTCTATTGAAAATTGGTAGTCTTGACTTGGTATTAATACTCATGATTATCTTTGCTGATTTGCTCTGCCCATCTTTCTCCCTCCCTCCTTTCCTTTCATTTCTTTCTTTTAGTACTGAGGAGTAAACCCAGGGCCTTCACACTGACCTACATCCCCAGTCTTTTTTGTGTTTTTATTTTGAGACAAGGTCCCAGTACGTTGCAAAATACCCATTTGATCCTCCTGCCTCAGTCTCCTGCTAGAAACACAGGCATGTGCTGTATAGTTTATTATATATATTTTAAAATGAAGGTGTGGGGGCTGGGGATTTAGCTCAGCGGCATAAGCGCCTGCCTTGCAAGCAGGCAGTTGTGAGTTCGATCCCCGGTACCGATAAAAAGGAAAAAGACCAAAAAAAAAAAAAAAAAAAATGAAGGTGTGTTTTGAAACATCCTGAAGTCTCCACATATAGGAGGAGATTGTAATCAATAAAAATTCTAGATGTTTATCTTTCTCACTTTGAGGGGCTCCACCACCATCTAAACCCTATTTTCAATAATTAGTCTCACATATGTGCATGCTTGGAGATGAACAAATCCAGACACACACCAAGCTATCAGGTTTCCTTCTGAGAGGTTCCTCACTCTCTATTGTTTTTAACCTAGAAAAACAGCCTTTAAATGTAATAAGGTACAGTGAATCAAACAGCATGTCCTGGATGTGGTCTTACTTAAGGGAGGGGGAATCTAAAGTGGAATTTTAAAAAAATGTTGTCAGTGGAAAATAGAAATCCAGGCCTTTTTGTCCAGATTGTCTAAATTCACCTATAAGAAAGTATAAAAAGAAATATGTCTGCCCTGCCGTATATGGTTATTAGAGCAACGGCCACCTTGATGCGTATCTGCAGTGCTGTGGATTTTCTGGGAAAAAAGGTTGCTGCCCTTCCTACTTCTTCCTAAATTAGTTTCCCTCAATAGCTACATATTCCTTGCATGTGAACCCCAGTGTTTATTGATCACAGTATAAATAACAGGATTTCTCCCAGGAATATTTTCTCTCAAAAGCACAAGAGAGTTGATCTCTAACTGTCAGTCTTCCTTTCCTTCTCCTTTTCTGATGTCTTCAACCAAAAATCAGTATTTTGTAGGAAAAGCAAAGACTTTACTTTCTTTTTCTTTTCTCAATTCTCCAAACCCTTTAATAAGAAAATTGAGATTATTTGCCCTGATCCAATGGGTGGGTAAACTGAAGAATTAAGAGTGAGTCATCGCTGTTTAAGGGCTCCAGTTGGCAAGCGAACCGTCCAATGAAGGGGAAATCTGAATTTCTTGTACTCAGGATACAAGCCTGGTACAAGCCAGGAAGACAGAGTGTATAATTCAAAACTGTAAAAATTGCACTTTGGCTTCACCTCAAGATGTTGTCAAGAGAGTTTCCATAGAGAAAGCTATTAATTTCGTATTGCTACACTTAGAAACTTACTTCCCCACAGAATAACGATAATATTTTCCATGTGCAACGCTTTTTATGTGAATTGCTGACTTTGAATCACGCATTCTGAGAGAGAAGGTGAAATATTATGGACAAGTAAAAGCACAGTTTAAATCCATTTTGCCCTCTTCCTAATTTAGATAAAAATTTCTAGGATAGATTCAGTCATCCATCTTTCACATGCACATGAGGCCTGCTCAGTAAGTACCCAAGCAGTATTTGTTAAATTTGTTCAGACTTCATTAGCCTAACATCTCTCTCATTTGAGGCCTTGAAATTCTCAGCTAATCTTTACCCCTGAACCAAGCAGTTTCATTTCTAATTATTTTTAATCCTCACTATATTTCCATGAGTTTCATTATGACCAAAGTATCTTCATATTACAAAATAGATTATCCACCGACGATTGCTGCTATTGTTTTTGTTCTTGGACTGTCATACACTGTCTCCTAAATCCTCCAAACAAACTTGTTCTGCAGACAAGAGATTCGGGAATTTACATCACTTGCTTGTCTAGAGAATGGTTGAAACAAAATACAAACCTGTCTGACACTCAAATGTGAGCGCTGCTGTGTTCATAGTAGAAAAAATAAGACACAAATGGGCCATAGAAGACCTTTGGTCTTTACAGTGAAAAAAAAAATGATAGTAAACATAGTCAAGACTGTTTCGAAGGCACTGGAGATTGAACCCACAGCCTCACACATGGTAGGCAAATACTCTACTAGTGAGCTACAACAGTCCTTTTTAAATTTTTTTAATTTTATTTGAGTCATTTGTAGGAAAAATGGATGCACCTTGAGTCCATAACATTAAGTGAAATAAATCTGATATGTAAGCTTAAATATCTCATGGCTTCTCTTATATGAGAAACCCAAAGTATAAATAAATGAAAGATAGATTATAGGGCCGGGTGTGGTGGCTCATGCCTGTAATCCCAGCACTCGGGAGGCTGAGGCAGGAGGATCTTTGTGAGTTCAAGACCAGCGTAGGCCACAAAGTGAGCTCAAGGCCAGCCTGAACTGCATAGAGAGACTTTGTCTCAAAAGACCAAAAAAAAAAAAAAAAAAAAAAAAAAAATAGGTAGATAATAGAAAACAGGGAAATACAGCTTTTGCAAATGAAAGTGACCAAGAGATGGAGAGAGAGGGAGGGGAAGGGAGAAGAATGTGGTACAAAAAAATTAAGAAGTGTCATCTGTATGTATCAACTCCCTCAGATGAATGTAATCATTATGTACTGCAAATACGTACTAATAAACATTTTAATTAAAAATAAATTTTTGTTTTGAGATAACATCTCCCTGAGTTGCCTAAGCTGGCTTCAAACTTGCAATCTTCCTACCAGTTTTCCAAGTAACCTGAATTACAGGCGCATACCAGCATCCCCACGGAGACTAAAAAAAGAGATAGAGATGGAGATAGAGACATCACAAGTTAGAGCTGGAGGTGTAGCTCGGTGGTACAGGGCTTGCCTAGACTGTGTGAGGCCCTAGATTTAAGCACTGGCACATACAAAGTAATAATAATAATAATTGCAGCCATGTTGAGCTATATTAACTGATGTTGAGAAACTGTAGAGAGAATTATATGACCAGTAGGATAATCAGGTAAAGACTGGAGAGAGAGAGAGAAAGGATTTTAAATGAGAAAAAGTCTTTGCTGTGATGGGAAAAGGGGAAGACATACACAGTCATGCTGTTCCTGCATAAACGCTTAGCAAGGGCTTAGCAACCTTTATGTAAAAGGATACATAGTAAATAATTTAGGCTTTGTGGGTTATAAGCAGTCACCGCTACTCTACTTTGCCATTGTATTGCAAACACAGCCGTAGACAACATGATTTGTGTCTCAAACTTCATTTGAAATGCAGTGGTGTTAGGGTGGAACGTAATAAGAGGTGATTGGGTCTTGAGGGCTCTGCCCTCATAATGGATCAATGTTGTTGTCTGTGGAGTGAGTTAATTATTGCATCCTGGCTCTTCTTGCCTTCTTGTCCTCTGACATAAGTGACTCAGCCACAAAAAGATATAGGACTTTCCAGCTTCCAGAGCTATGAGGAAAACAATTCCTATGATTAATCCAGACTTGATATTGTCATAGCACCATCTGATGAACTAAGACAGCTCTGTTCCAATAAAATTTCGTTTATAGACATTTCAATGTAAATGTCATATGGTTTTCACATGTCATGAAATATTATTCTTCATTCTTAAAAACTACTTTAAAATGTAAAAACTCTTTCTATCTCAAGTCACATACAAAAAAAAGCAGGAGGCTCAATCTGCTTCTCAGGCAGTAGTTTGCCAATCTCTAGCTTAGCAGCAAGGCAAAAGCTCTTTGCTAAGATCATCAGCAGGGAGTTTAAAAGCTGAGAGTAATGCGAAGGACCTACTGGGAAGGGAAGGGCATGAGAGAGGA